TCCCCAAGTTGATTTTGGTCAGTGTTTTATCACAGCAACAGAAAAGCAAACTATGAAAGTAAAGAAAAAAAAAAACAGATACAATAAGCACCAAAAAGAATTAAAAAGTGCTGGGTTTTGTTTGTTTTAGTTACACTATTTTCGTGAATCGGTGTTTTGCCTGTATGGATGTCTGTGCATCATGGGCTTGCAGTGCCCACAGAGGCCAGAAGGGGGCACTAGATCCCTGGAACTGGAGTTACGGACAGTTGTGAGCTGCCATGTGGGCGTTTGGACTCTACCCCAAGTCTTCTAGAGGGGCAGCTGGTGCTCTTAACTCCTGAGCCATCTCTTCAGCCTCCCAAATAGTGGTTTTTAAAGATGGTGTAAACCTATTTGGATATGAAGATGCAGTTGACCTACAAAGGACTTAGTGAGGTCTTATCCTCCTTCTAAACAGATAGTTGCCAACTACTGACACTACCGGTTAAATTTAAAAAGCAATAAAGTTTTTAAAATCTGTACAGCTTAGTTCTCACTACTATTGCACTATTCATGCCAAAAGTTATAAAACTGCACGTACTTAGCATACATGAGGCCCTGGGTTCAATCTCTAGCCACCCCCATACTCTCACCCCAAATAAAAACAAAAAAACTAGGAAAAGCTGTAAAGTTACAAACTCCTTCCGAATGACACAGTCTAGCCCTGCTCAGTGGCTAACTCCACACGGATTAGGCGTGGTATAAATACCCCCATCTTCTCCCTCACTCTGCAAAACCCATCTAGCCTCTGCTCAGGATGCCACTGATTAGCTGACGGGGTCCTTTTGCTCTAGATAAGAGTCGTGATGAGCAAGCAGCTCACTGAGTCTTTGGCAGATTTTGTATCCATGCAGCAGGGCGCAGCAGCAGGAAGCACTCTCCCAGGTAGCCAGTGTAACCCAGGTTACCATGCAAGCCTAGTACCGTAGGACTCCTGCTCTCTCAGTGCCACAGTCCTGTGTAAGAGGATTCCTTAAACCAGCGGCAGGAGCCAATGTATAACTCCTGGGCCTGGGAGTCTGAGAGCCTTGGCCCTGACGTCTTGACAGCTCTCTGGAACTGCCTCAGCAAGCAAAGCTTGCAGGTCCTCTATGGCTCTTCACAGCCTTCCGCCCTACTTCTCAGTCCTCCGTGCTTCTGCGACTTCCACCGCACCCCCAACTCCTGCCCTCACCACTCTCCAGGACTGCTCACCTGCCTGCTGTTGCCATGGCTGCCGTCAGGAGGCAGCTACTGCGGGTTTTTTTTTTTTTTTTTTTTAATCACTGCTCCCACGGCCGCCACTGACCGCAAGCGCGCAGTTCCAGCTCTGCTTCGGTTATCAGCCACAGCTTTGCTCCTCCAGCTCGGAGTGCCAGCTGCTCCTCTGTCGCTGCTGTGCTTGTTCCTGACACTTCCTTCCTTCCTTCATGTTGCCAGCTCAACTCACAGCACCAAAAGCCCACAAGAAGAGATCTGCCCAAAGAAGTCTTTTATTGTGCCTAATGTCTCAAAACCAGGTGTATTAGCTGCCTTTCTCAGTACAGGGATGAAACAGCCGACCAAGCAAGCTTAAGGGAAGGCGGGTTTCTTTCCACTCAGGGTTTTAGAGAACAGCTCACCATCAGGGGGAGGAGCTGGTCACACAGCGGCTGTGGCCAGGCAGCAACGCTAGGAATGCTGCTGTTCAGCTCACTTCTCCTTTTCACTCGCTCTACAACTCCCCAGGCCATACCTTCAGGGCGGTGCTTACATCCTCAAGCTTTTCTGGATTCACCCAGAGGTATGCTCCGTTACTCATTTTAAAGCCAGTCAAGCTGACAGTTGTGACGGTTTGAATGAGATGCCCCTACGAAGCTCAGGCATCTGACTATTCAGTTCCCACTTGGAGATTTCGGAAGAATTAGGAGCTTCGTGGCCTTGCTGGAGGAGGCGTGTCGCTGGAGGTAGGCTTTGGGATGTCATAATAATCACACACCTTGGAATTAGATTTCTGGACTTCCTACTTGTGGATCAAGATCCAAGCTCTCGGCTACCACTCCAGCACCAGGCCTGCCACGCTCCTTGCCAGGCTGGACTTTTATCCCGCAGGAACCATAAGCTCAAATAAACCCTTCCTTCAGGCGCCTCGATCGTGGTGCTTGTCACAGCGATAGAAACATGGAAGTTTTGGTTCTTTAAAATCTCAGTCATGTCATGTAAATGTGTTTTTGTTTTAATCCCAAGTGTGGGGTTTCAGATGGGCTATAGTTTGTCCACACCTGTTAACTGTCTCGTGCATGTGGACTGTAGCAGTTTGGAGACCAGAGAGACAGACCATGTAGCAGTTCAGAGCAGACAGGTGAAGAGAAACACTTCAGGGCACAGCAGCGTGGAAGAGACTGCTGGCTCCATTTGCTGTTGACTGAGATTGGTATAGCCCCCAAAGACCCTTTGGCCCTACACAACCAGGAAAAGTAAGGGTGTCTGTGACCCCTTGCCCCACTAACCTTCTCTCTCCTACCTAGGATTGTGGGTTTGGTGAAAAGGAGGTAGAGGAGGGCTAAATACCCCAAATAAAATAGAGTTTTAAAAACAAGCACTGCATAGAAACACTATGAGAGCAGTGGTGTTAGCCATCACACAGGTGAGGGGGCACTAGGTGTCTAAGATCTCACATACCCAGTCGGCTGAACAAACCTCATACGCAAATGAAGGCTTGTATTTACACCAATAACAGAAAACCCTGATGCCTATAGTCTCAACAGTCACAATAGTCCCTCTGACCTAGGTGGAAAAGATGTGAGTCATCTACAATTCAGTGAGGTTTATAACAAAATGTCTGGTACAGTTTGAAACAGTCTGGGCTGACATTGTACCTTCTCACACTGTCATTTTAGATGCCGGAGGGAACACAGTAAAACTTGACTAATATATCTATAAAATGGTAAGCATTGTATAGTTTTGTTTTTGGTTTTGGTTTTTTGTTTGTTTGTTTTTTTCAGGTTATCAGTGGAGTGTTCAAAGGCCGGTATTGGTATGCAGGTAATCCAGCTGACTGTTTGACTGACAATCCTTTTGCTTCCAGCAGCGAGGGCAGCAAGGGAGAGTGGTAGAGTCCCTGGACAGCTTGTAAGGAATGATTTCTGAGGTTGTGCTGTGCTGTGCTGCACACACACAAAAATATGCACATAAACATACGTACACATAACACATATAGGATGGAGACATGGCTCAGTGGTATAGTGTTTGCCTAGAATTCAAGACCTCAGATTCAATCTCCAGCACTGAAGAACAAGTGCAGAACAGTTTAGTGACCTAATGTTTTAAGTTATCGGATACCTGTTAAACACCAGTGTGCCAGGATGCCCACATTATAGCAAATAAAGTGAACCAAATAATATTGTAGGTGGTTTTCCCAAGATCCCGGAATAACAACTCATGAGACTCATTACATATTATACAAAGACCCAGGCCATATGGCTAGGCTCTTCTCTGAGTAGCTCATAACTTAAAAACCCATTTGTATTAATCTACATTTTGCCAAGTGGCTGGTTACCTATGCTCAGGTACCATGGAAGTATAAGCTGAAATAAACCCTTTACTGCCCAAGTTGCTTTGATCATGGTGTTTCATCACAGCAATAGTAACTAACCCTAGCTAGAACACTAGGTATGTGCCACCATGCCTGGTTTATGTGGTGCTGGGGATTAAACTCAGGACTTCATGAATATTTACTCTCTCTACCAACTGAGCTATATTCCCAGCCCAAATTAGGGCTTCAAAAGTAACATGATAATGCTACATTTTAAATGTAGTTCTATAGATAGAACTTGGTGATAAAGGGCATACCCACCATGCATAAAGGCTGTGGCTCCAGCATTATTTAAAAAAAAAAAAAAATCCTAGACACCTAAAGTGTGTCTTAATCAGGGTTTCTATTGGTGCAAAATATCAGGACCAAAAAGCAAGCTGGGAGGAAAGGATTTATTTGGTTTACACTTCCATATCACTGTTTATCATCTAAGGCGTTCAGGACAGGAACTCAAGCAGGGCAGGAACTTGGAGGCGGGAGCTGATGCAGAGGCCATGGAGGGGTGCTGCTTACTGGCTTGTTCCTCATGGCTTCCTCAATCTGCTTTCTTATAGAACCAGAACCACCAGCCCAAGGACGACTCCACCCACAATGGGCTGGGCCCGACCCCATCAATCACTAATTAAGAAAGTGCATTACAGCTGGATCTTGTAGAGGCATTTGCTCAATGGAGGTTCTGTCTTTTCAGATAACTACAGCTTGTATCAAGTTGACATAAGGCTAGCCAGCACCAAGTAGAAATGGAAAACCAACAAGAGAATATGGATAAAAACCATTGACTGACTCACAGACTAATGTCAGAGATGAAACACATGGACGCATGTACAAGGCAACTTCTACCACCCAGAGACACTGCCAGGCCCAAGATTCCATGTCTACACCAAAATGTCAAGAATAGTTATCCCTGGTTAGAAAAAATTCAGGTTATCTTCTCACTTTCCTTTTCTCTCTCTCTCTCTCTCTCTCTCTCTCTCTCTCTCTCTCTCTGTGTGTGTGTGTGTGTGATGATAATGACCCTTACCATCACCTAAGCAGAGCTTGTAAATCATTCACTCATGCTGGAATGGCAGACATCCACCACCATACTGGTTACGCTGGTTCACACAGTGCTGGGGTAGAACCAGGGCTTCAAGCTGGGTAGGCTGGGCCATCACACTACCGACTAGCCACACCCCGGCCTCTTGAGTTTTCTCGTTGTTTCTTTTTTTTTTTTTTTTTTTATTGGGAGTTGACATAAAACCCAAGCTTGTGTTAGAACTATTTTCGGTCATTAGCGTTAAAGGCTGTGGGCCACGCTCAGTGGCAGAGAACTACTTCACAAATGTAAAGCCTGGATCCCATGTCCAGCCGGGCACTTTTAAGAAATAAAACAAAGTCATTTGCCGCTTACTAGATGCATAATCGATACTTTAAAAACATGTAACAATTGTGAATACAAACAAAATATTTTATTTCATCCCTGAAAACAATGACAATCAGAGATGTTCATGATTCATCAGAGCCTGAAGAGGTGCTGCAGAATCTACCTGGCAATGGGACATCATTTCTTCACATAAAGGTACAGGGAAGACAGTTCAGAGAGCTATCTTTCAATGAAACAATATATTCTTATACTTATTTTAACAAAATATCATAATCATTGCTACTGCTTGTGGTAGCATTATAATAATGAACAATATTAAAAACTAAATTCAATTTAGTCTAAATCTAGAGGCTAGCTGCACTCAAGCAGTTATTATATAGAATAAATACTACAAAATATAGAATACTATATAGCAATTGGATTTGCTACGAATTGTATTTAAATAAAGACATGTTTTTGTTCTATATCAGAATTAACCAAGTTAAAATTTCTTGTGCTGTATACAGTAGCTGTTTCCCTAAAAAGATAATCTTCAAAATTTATATTTTAATGTTCTTAATTTTATAAAGTGGTCATTATGTAGGAATAGCTAACCTGCCCCCTCCTAACACAATATACTGTTACATAACATCAACTAACATGAATGTTTTCCAAGCAGTTCTGTGCAGCACAAATACATTACTATATACATCTGCCTAAAGTCAAGTCCTTTCCTTCCCCCACCAACACAACCAAAGCAACGCTTACCAAAGTATGAAAATGATTGACTTTCCTAATAGTAGAAACAATCAGTGGGCTCAACATTGTTTTTTGTTTGTTTGTTTGTTTGTTTTTTCCTGTTTTTTAGATAGGGCCTGCTCTGCTGCCCAGGCTGGCATTGAACTTGCAATTCTCCTGTCTCAGCCTCCTGAGTATCCATGGCTACAGGCATATGACACTAGGATTTATTTTCAAATCAATAACCCTGATTTTGAAAAATCATGCACTTTATTTTTCATTTCATCATAAAAATATGTATTATTCTGCAGAATATATGTAAGAAATTTTACAGTATGAGATTAGAGATTACTCTCATCTCTATTAAATTGTCCCCAATGGTTAGGCTATGGACAGTGGCTGCTACCCATTTCAAAATTATATTCTTACAAATGCTTTTTTTAAAAATATACAATTAACCTTCAGGTATTTTGAAGGGTAGTGCAAATGAGAACATTCTTTGGGTCTTCTTCAAAACATGCTTTTCAACATGACACTTCCTTTCTCTCTGCTCATAATGTGCATGACAAAATATGGTACAGGAAATAAGCATGTTTCCCATTCACAGAGGCACCGCGAGGGCGGATGACACAATGGTCCAGTAACTTATGGTCCTCATCTGAAAAACATGTTATATACTTAAACAAGTATTTACAGAACGGACGCCATGTCCTTCTAGTGCTTTTGTTTCTTGATCTCTGTGCAAAGATGACCTCCCTGATTACCACTGTCAACTGTGTTGCCAGATGCCTGTGAGGTGTGCGGAACGGCTTTTGAAGCGCTTTGTGCGGGAGCAGACTAACAATGCCTGGGATTTTATGTACAGAAGTAGCGTCCTACGAGTCCAGAGAGCTCCTTGGAAATGTGTACAGCGTTTATTGTCCGGTGTTCCCCTGCCCTAGGCACCCGTTTGAGAGGTGTCCCGAGGAGGGGGTGGTCCACAGTGGCGTAGCCGCGCAAGGTGGCCATCTCTGCTATCTGACGCTGCCCGACACACTCGTCCTTTTGTTGGTGGTCACCGGCACCAGGTTCCCACTGGTGCCATTGGTAGTGTTGGCTGCTGAGCCATTCACAACAATATAGTCCACCTTGTTCTCCAGCTTCACCAAGCGCTGCAAAATGTCATCCAGGAGGACCGCGATTGTTCTCTTCAGATCGGCTAGGGGGAAATTGGAATAAATCATATTAAATAGCAGTAGAACACTTAAGATTTATGCCTTCACAGGTTAAGGGAAAGAGGCAAATAATTATCAGGACATCTAAAAGAAAATGTGCTAAGAAGACACTTGGACCCCAGGCAGGAAAAGCCTGAGCACATTCATCAGTGGCGCCACACCCAAAACAACAGCGCTACAAACACACCAGGAGCTCCGGAGGGCAGTGCGGCAGATTTAAAGTCTGGTCCAGAGTATCAGAGCATCTGCAAGGAAAACATAAACCTCCTTACTTTTACTTTTTGTTTGTTTTGGGTTTGTTGTTGTTTTGTTTCTCTGTGTAACCTTGGCTCTCCTGCACTCACTTTGTAGGCCAGGCTGGCCTCGAACTCAGAGCTCCACCTGCCTCTCCCAAGTGCTGGGATTACAGGCTTTTACCACCACACCTGGCCTGTTTCTTACTTTTAAAACGCGTATGGGTGCTTATCTGCATGTATGTCTGTGTACCATGAGCATGCATGGTGCCCAGAGGGCAGAAGACAGTGTCGGGATGACATGGACTGATTAAAGACAGTCGTGGGCTCCCGTGTGGGTGTACCGGATCCTCTGGGAGAAAAGCCAGTGCTCTTCCCAGTGACCCCAAGCTGAGTTTGAGTAGGGATGTAAAAAGGCCTGGACCAGGCAGGTAAAGAGCTCCGTAAGCAATTCAACCAGACACAAGGGAGACACCTGAACCCTCCAGACTAGAGCATGGGTGGGGGAAGCAAGGGCACAGGGCGGCCTCATCTAAGTTATTTCTTCAGACTCAGCCTGGGTGGCTCCGTGTTGAGGGCTCACGCAGCGGCATCTGACTTTGTGTTCATTGGTATACAGATCTACCACCTGACCAGCACTAACCACGAAGCACCAAGCACTGCCTGGCATCTTCTCCACGTGTGAAAGAGTGCACGCCAGACCCAAGAAGGATGCAATGTAGAGGAAGTTTTGGTGTCTTTAAAAACTCAGTTATGTTATGTGAACATGTTTTGTTTTAATCCCAGGTGTGGGATATGGGGGCTGATTCAGACTGTCCACAGCAGCAAACAGCCTCATGCGGGCTTGAGAGGGGCTCTTTGCCAGCTATAGAGAGTTTAATTCTAAGGACTCTGGAGAGGGAATAAAGACCAGAGCCCAAGATGGGAGGGGGCAAGGGGGCTCCAAGAAAGAAGGAGGAGGCTGCTGCTCCTAGTTGCTGTTGGTGCAGTTTGATGAGAAGATGGAGATTGGACTTGTCCCAGAAAACTATGACCTTAAACAGCAGGAAGTAACTAAAGAGAACTATGATCCCTCTCTTCACTAACCTCTCTCTCCTACCTGGTGTTGGGACGTTGGAAGGGATGTAGAGGTATAAAAAACCCAAATAAAATAGATATAAAAAGTGTGCCTACAATGTAACACGTAGGTGCCAAAAAAAAGAGAGACATCTAACATTGAGATCAAGATGATAGCCCACCCACCTGTTGTCAACCACCCACACATGCATCAAGAGAGGACAGAGAACTCCAAACTGCTCCCAGCAATTTAGATTGGCAGGGCCCCCCACTGCTTAATGAGCCCTAGTCAAACTGCTGTCCATCCATCTAGACCCATCCTGCACCCTGACTGGACAGTTCAAGCCCTGGCCTTGGTCTATCAGCTCCTCCTCCCTCCCCTGTCCTTCTCCTCCTCTCCTCCTCCTTCTTGGCAGGTTTCTCTACAGCTGCTCCCACCGAGATGCTCAGAACCCTGCCTCACCTTCAGGGACTGCTTTCTATTAGCTCTCACTCAGTCTTACTGAGGCCTCTCTGAACTCCTTGTCATCAGCCATTTGTTCTGAAACCTACACACAACTGTGAAGGGACATGTGTGACCTGAGGGGGCTGAGACGGCTCTGTGGATAAAAACTTTTGCTGTAAGAGCCGGATAACAGAGTCCACATTAGGAGAGAACTGACTCCCAAAAGTTGTCTAACTTACACACACACACACACACACACACACACACACACAGGCATACAACACACACACACAATAATAAACTAATTTTTTTAAAAATATGTGATCTGGGGGCTGGAGAGATGGCTCAGTGGTTAAGAGCACTGTTCTTCCAAAGGACCCAGGTTCGATTCCCAGCACCCCCGTGGCAGCCCACATGGCAGCTCACAACTGTCTGTACCTCCAGTTCCAGGGGATCTGACACCCTCACACCAATGCACATAAAATAAAGTTAAATAAATTATATATTTAAAAAAAATATGTGATCTGAGAGTTATTTGCTACTAAGATGGAATAGAAGATCTCATGGCGTCACTGTCAGGACAACTGGAACCATTTGAAAAACTGCTGTCAATGAAACCAACAATATTGTGGATTTATGGTTAACTGAAAGAATTCTGATCTGTGTGCAAGACACAGTGTAGCTACTGCCCTCACTGCACACTCAGGAGACCTGGCCAGGGCGGGTGTGCCACCTAGTTCTAATTTGAATTTCTTCCAAAAAATGACAGGAACTTTAATTCTTTTTTTGTTTTGTTTTGATTTTTTTTGAAACAGGGTTTCTCTGTGTAGCCTTGGCTGTCCTGAACTCACTTTGTAGACCAGGCTGGTCTCAAACTCACAGTGATCTGTCTGCCTCTCCCTCCTGGAGTGCTGGGATTACAGCTGTGCACTACCACACCCTGCTTGGGACTTTAATTCTTAACCTCTGTAGAAGGCTGAGGGGCTTATGTAGAATTTTCCTAGCTAGGAAAAAAAAAAAAAAAAAAAAAAAAAAAATATATATATATATATATATATATATATATATATATATATATATATATTGTTCTTTCATGAAATTGTCCCTCAGGTTTCTCACTGGCATTTCACAGATATTAGGCACTCAATAGTGGCAACTGACACTCTTATTTTTTTGTTGATCTTGGACCAAAAAGGTCAGCTCAATAGCTCAATCCCTAGTCTGTGGTCCCCAGGGAAACTCATCTAACGCCTGCTGATAAAGCTGCTGGTGGCTGTGCTACTGCCAGAAAACGTGTGAGACACAAAAGAAAAAAAAATAGTAATTTGGACTTCATCAAAACTAGAACCTTTTGGAGTACCAAAGGGTGCAGGGCCAGTGAGACAGCTGAGAGGTGAAGGCGCTTGCTGCCCAGCAATGGAAACCTGGCATCCTGAGTTCAAACCTGGAATACACCTAAAAGTGGAGGAAGAGAACTGGCTCCACAGAGCTCTCCTCTGACCTCCACAGAAGTACTTGCTGGAGCAAATACCATCCCCCCCAAAACAAATGAAATAAAATAAAAATGGAAAAGGAAAGAGGATAATCTACAAAATGGGAGAACATCTTTGCCAATTATGCATCTCATGAAGTCTACTACAGTGACGCCAGACCTCAAATTCAAGACAATGCAATCCAAATTAAAAACAGGCAAAGGCTCTGGCTCCTAATCAGAGGCGGGGGGAGCGAAGGCTGTGCCAAACAAAGAGAAAATCAGTTTTCCAATGGGGTGCCACTGAGTATATATCAACCATACTGTAGGCCAGGCCCCACACCCAGGGCTGTAGATCAATGGTATTTTAACAGACCCTTTGTTTCAGTTTTCATTGTCTGCACTTTTTTTTTTTGTTTTGTTTTTTGTTTTGTTTCTTGTTTTTCTGTTTTGTGTTTTGTTTTTTTTTTTTTAAAGAAAAAGAACATGAAGTTGGTGGGCAAGGGAGGTGGGGAGATATCTAGGAGGAATTTGAGAAAGGAAAAAGCATGATCAACATATATTGTGTGAAAAAAGGGGGACTTTTTTTTGTCTTTTTGTTTATTGTTTTTTCAAAACAGGGTATCTCTGTGTAGTCTTGGCTGTCCTGCACTTGTTTTGTAGACCAGGCTGGCCTCAAACTCACACAGATCCACCTGCCTCTGCCTCCCTGGGTGCTGGGATTTTTTAAATACAAAGATGGAAAAAGGGGGGATGTCGATGCGCAGGTCGCCTGCTGCAGAACTTCCCAGCCCTGGGTGAGGGACGTGCCGACAGGAGCTTTACACAGAAAGGCCAAGGCCCAGACAACGGCAAATTTAGTTTGTGCCTCTTTGATTAGGTAAGGTCCAGATGCCCTCCAAAGCTGAATGGGAAACTACGGCTCTGTGTGACCCGCTCTTAGGGGTAGGTGTGGCATGGAGGAGCCTCGGCAGAAGGACCTCCCTTAGACCTGCGCCCGCTCTGAGTTTCCTAAGGACCCTGAGATGGTAAATGCTCGCTAAGTGTTGTTTCTGTTTTAAATGAGCAAAGAGGGGCTGGAGAAATGGCTCGGTGATGAAGGGCACTAGCTGCTGTTGCTGAGGATGCAGGTTCAGTTCCCAGAACGCACACGGTGGCTCACAGCCATTACAACTGTGCAGGGACCTGACACTCTGCATGGGCATCAGGTACACATGGCACACAGATATAAGTTCAGGTAAACACTGTGCACATCAAATAAAATAAAGAAATGTTTTTAAAAAATGAGCAAAGGAATTGAACAGACATTTCTCCAAAGAAGATAGGAGAATGGCCAACAGGCCCAGGAGAACATGCCCAGCACCACTGCCCATTAGGAAAATGCAGGGCAACCATAAGCAAGGCAGGGCTATTTGCCAAGACGAGGAAGGACTAAAAACGTCACACATTCCAAGCAGGAATAGACAACAACAGAACAGCTATGGAAAAGAGTTTGGCAATTTCTCAAAAAAGTTAAATATAACTCAAAAATTAAAGAACTCAAAGAAATATTAAGTACCAATGTTCGTTGCAGCTTTACTCATGAAAGACAAAATGTCCAGCAAGTCAAGTATCTATCAATAGATAATAGAGAAACAAAATATGTTACATATACACAAGAGAATATTATTCTATAATAATATTCCATAAAAAGGAATGGTGTTCTGATTCATAATGCAACACAAAAATATTGCAACCTAGCCGGGCGTGGTGGCACACCTCTTTAATCCCAGCACTCTGGGAGGCAGAGGCAGGTGGATCAGTGTGAGTTTGAGGCCAGCCTTGTCTACATAGCAAGCCCAGGACAGCAAAGGCTACACAGAGAAACCCTGTCTTGAAAAACATTATATACACACACACACCCCTAAGAGTGGGTCACACAGAGCCATAGTTCCCCATTCAGGGGCACGGGCATCTGGACCCTTACTTGACTGATGAGGCCCAAACTAAATGTGTCTGGGAGCCTTGGCCTCTCCTGCGTAAAGCTCCTGTCAGACCGTCCCTCAGGGCTGGGTAGTATATATATATATATACTGTGTGTGTGTTGTAACCTTGGAAATATGATGCCAAGTAAGATAAGCCATATACAAAACATTATATAATTCTACTTTCATGAAATATCTAAAACAGGCAAATTCATACAGACAGCAAATAAATGAGAGGTTACCAAGGGATGAGTGAAAATAAAAATTTACTTAGTATTCACATCCATTCAAGGATATTAAAAAAATGTACTGCTCAGGGCTGGAGAGATGGCTCAGCGGTTAAGAGCACTGTCTGCTCTTCCAAAGGTCATGAGTTCAATTCCCGGTAACCACATGGTGGCTCACAACCATCTATAAAGGGAACAGATTCCCTCTTCTGGCAGATGTAAATGCAGACAGAACACTCATATACTTAAAAGAAATAAATCTTTTTAAAAAAATTTTTACTGCTCAAGAGTTTCTAGTTTGCAGTGATGTAAGTTTTGAAGAGAGTGCGAGGACTGTGCAATGTGGTGACTTCCATGACAGTCCCTCACAGGCTCCTATGTCACCTTCTGTCAGAGCGTCCTGTCATAGCAACGGAAAAACATCCAATACATACAACTCTATGAGTGTAACTAAAACAAGGGAATTGTATACACTCAAATAGAATTAAATGCCAAGTTCACAATTCTACGTGAAGTAATTTTCAGAAAGAAATGGTAGAAAATGGTGGACAATCAAAACCTGCTGATCAAAAGATAAAACAAGGTTGCTGAAGAGATGGCTGCGTGGTTGAGAACGCTGGTTGATCTCCCAGAGGACCTGAGCGCAGTTTCCAGCACTCATATCAGGTGACTCACAGCCACCTGTAACTCGAAAAACCCTTTCCTCCCCAACTTGCTTTTGATCATGGTGTTTCATTGCAGCAACAGAAACCCTAAGACACTGAATACAAAACAAAACCTTGTCTCAAAAGACCAAAGGGATGGGGGGGGGGCAGATATAGATATAGATTCATGGCTGACCAATCCTTCAGCCACTTGTTCTCAGCCGTCACGTATTTCTGAGCCAGAGTCTCCCACTGTACTAGCTACAACTTGCCAATCCAGTTAGACTGACTGGCCAGGCCCCAGGGATCCTCTTGTCTCCAGCTTCCTAATGCTGGGATTTTAGGGGTGCTATACCCTGCCTGGCCTTTTCTTTTTAATGTGGTAACCATTCACAGGGCATCTATGTCTCCTCCCCCATGTCTCAGGAAATAGTGCAGAAGAAAGGGCAGAAAGAATGTAAGAGCAGCCTGGGAATGGCATGCTACTGTCCTGTTGAAGTCACAGCGGTTAGGATCCCAGCTGTGAAGAAGGCCTTTCCTCAAGAGGTATTATAAATCCTCTGCTGAAAGAGAAAGGTGACTGCAACAAAGAAAAAACACAACCAGCCAACAGATGCCCAATCCCAATGCACTCAGGATGCAGGAAAATGCTGAGTTTGAGATCAGCCTGATTTACAAAGCAAGAACCTGGCCCAAGAACAAATAGGCAGAGTCAGGCCCGTAGCTCAGTTAATAAAGTGCACACCTACTATGCACAAGACCTTAAGTCTGACAACACATAACCATGTGATGTGGCACAGGCCTGTAATCCAGGTAGAGAGAGGAAGGAAGATCAAAAGTTTAAGGCCAACCTGGGATACACCAGACTCTGCCTCAAAATAAATAACTAACTAAAACAGGCTCGGGCTGTAGCTTGGTTTAGAGTATGTGGTGGTTTGAATAGGAGTGGGCCCCACAGACTCATATGAGTGAATGTCTGACCCATAGAAGTGGCAATATTAGAAGGTGTGGCCTTGCTGGAGTAGGTGTGGCCTTGTTGGAGGAAGTGTGTCATGGGGGTGAGCTTTTGAGGTCTTACTAGCTCAAGTCTGGCCAGTGTGTCTCAGTCTCCCCCTGCTGCCTGCAGATCAAGATGTACAACTCTCGGCTCCTTCTACAGCACCATGTCTGCCTGCATGCCGCCATGCTTCCTGCCATGATGATACTAGACTAAACCTCTGAACTGTAAGCCAGCCCCAATGAAACGTTTTCCTTTATAGGAGCTGCCTTGGTCATGGTGTCTCTTCAAAGCAATGAAAACCCTAACTAAGCAGGACACTAGCCTACATTATGTGATGGCCCTGAGTTTGATTCCCAGCACTGATGGAACAGGCTTCATTCAGACTCCTGATTCTTCCTGTCTCAGCCTTCTGAGTTCTGGGATTAAGGGTGTGCACTACCATTTCTAGCTCCTCATCTCATCTACAAGAAAGAGAAAAGAGGGCACACATAAAGAACTAAAAACAAACTAAATACGCCTTAATCCCAGCACTGGGGAGATGGAGGCAGGTGGATCTCTATGAGTTCAAGGACAGCTTGGTCTACATAGTGAGTGCCAGGATAGTCAGAGCTACATAGAGAAAGAGACCCTGTCTCAAAAGACAAAATAAAACAACAATAATAACAACAAAAACCCAAAACAACCAGAACCTAAGATATGAAAGGGAGACTCACAATAAGCAATGCTGGGACTATAGAAAAATCCTGCTTCTTGGGACTTAACAAACTTTGTGTATTTGATGTTTTATATTGAGAAAACAAAACAAGAAAATTTAAATACATACATATATATAAAATAATAACACTGTATTACATACTCATTTTTAAACACACATAATATACTTTAAACATACATATTTTAAAGAGATGAGTATAGTACTGAAATGTCACAATTTCTATAACGTACTTAGAATATAATAAATGGTGTAGAAATAGTAAACTTAAATCTGGGTGAGGAAGACATGATTATTACATTTCTATTTTCTACTTGAAAATATACACCTGTAATTCTTTTTTTAAGAAAACCAACTTATGAAGAGCACACATGCCGCTGAGCTCAGTCCCTGAAACTGTGTTTACACAGGAATGGCTGGAGAGGAGAAGATGAAAGACCTCCCGTGGCTCTTACCATAGCCCGCCATGGACGCACCGCTGTCCACGTCCACCATGCTCTTGCTCTCCTCTGCCAGGGCTTTCACGTATCTTTTGCTTAAATCGAGGATTTGCTCACGGAGCTTGACGCTACTCTGATGTCGCGGCTGTTGAAAAGTATAGTGAAGTAACATCAGCCCCCAGATGAGTCCGAACACCAGCAACAGGAAGCTCAGTTTCTGCGACATATTTTTTCTTGAGATTGTAAAAAACATTTCTGATGAAGCAAACAGTCTTGATTGAGAAGCAGTAACTGGAAACAAGCCAGCCAACAGCGAAGACTTTTGAGAGGAAAGAGGAAGCGCTGTCTAGTGGTGTCCATCCATCTTCAGCTGCCTCTGCTCCCACATAGCTGTAAATGAAGAACAAAGAGATGAGTGTCACCTGCATCAGGACTGGGACTGTAAAGGAGGAGCCCTCTACAGTGTTGGTTTGCTACCTGGCAACTTTCTCTGCCACATGACAGGCTTCCTGATCATCTATCAGTTCCATTTCATACACTTTCAAAAATTAAACTAGAAATAAATATAAACCTGTTAAGAATATCTGAAAAATCATGCCACCATCATCATAAAACTTTGAATGACTTCCCATCTATCGCTAAACCTACTGATATGGTTCACAGACAATACAAGACTTCCAAGTTCTGTCTTTTCAGACATAGCCACCAGCACAAACACAAAGTAAACTGAAACAGGAATGTCAAAATCAAAGTTAGAAATGGCAGAGAGCAAACACAGAAAATCAAAATGCCCACCTACAAAAATCCGCATGATAAAATGTGTGCCAACACTTGGCTATGCCACTAGCAGGCATCACTGGCAAGAAGGCACTGACCCTATGAAGCATCTGACCTAAACCGGAACATAATCAAGTGAAAGGTTAAAACCATGAAATCTAGAAGGAACTAGAACATAAAATAATGTTTATAAACCACAGCTCTGGTTTTGTCACCTACAGGAAAAAATAATAATCGAGATAAAAATCCATAGTGCATTTCCCATGACCACTTCATAGCTTGCTAAAAATAGTCTTTAGCAATGCTTTAATTTGTGCAGTGTGAGCAAATAAGCATGCCAATTTTACTCCATCCACTAGGGAATAACAAAACTAAACATAATCTCCTTTGAGACTGCAGCTAAAGGTGAACATAGAACAGTCACAAAGGTGACAAGCCAGGCACAGTGGCACACAAGGGCAGTGCCAGAACATGGAGGAAAAGACAGAGCCTGGAAAGCTCTAGGCCAGCCTAGGCTGCATAGGAGTGTCAGTCAACCTCAGCTACACACCAAGACAGACAGACAAACCAACAACCCCCAAGCCAACGGAGCACTAAGTAGCTCTCACTCAGTACATACTGAGCCAGGTACAAGGGGTACTTTATAGTTGTTCGACCCTAAAAACGTGCTTTCTAGCAGGGACGCTTTCAATTTTTTTGTTTTACTTACAATGAGCTCTCGCTATGTTTCCTGGGTGGTCTGGAACTCGCTATGTACATCAGGTTGGCCTCAAACTCACCCGGATCCGCCCGCTTGGCATATTTCTATCAGTGTATATTGACTCTTCTATATCTTCACATACAAGCTGAAGATTATACTCTGTATCCTACCACCTCTAAAAAGGGCACTTGGACTATCCTGAATCAGTCAGTTAGTTCAAAAGTTGGCATGACTGTAAAGCCAGAAGTGACATCACTGGAGAACTGAGAACACAGCCAGCTAGGTATTTCTGGCAGATGAAGAGTTACATGACAGCTAAGAAAGAGAAAGGAAGGGAAGAGGAAGCAAATCCAAACATATACTAAAGTGACAGGACATGCTAAGGAACGATGGTAGGAAATATACGGGCAGAAAAGTTGTGTGTGCAGTTTATAACATGCAATCGTCTTGACTGAGCCATGTGTGTACAGCAGCATAAGGGCAGCAGTACAAGGTGACAGGCTGTGTGTTCAGAACACAGGCTACCGTGCACCACATGAGGCGGCATGGGGAAAAAACACTGTCACAAATCCCTTGGGTTCAATACACGCTTGGTTTTGAATTCACTTCTGGCTGCTGTACATTCAGAAATCTTTTACTGATGCACAAGTTAAAAAACAAAAACAAACAGGGAAAAAAAAAACTCTCTCAATATGTTACTCAATCCCAGAAGGCTAAATATAAGATATGACTGTACCATCAGTATCAGTCAGGAGAGAGACCTTCATACATGCACAAACATCCCAACATGGACCCTACAGAGTGTCTGCTCAGCTCTGATAGGGGAAAAATCCAGCTCTCCTCTTGGGGTTCTTAGTCTTATTAATGAAAGATTTTAAGAATGGACCCACAGGAGAGCACAGGAAATGTTTATCAGCATCTAACTGGAAAACCCCTAGGGCAGGTAAACTGTGAATCTCAACAGATTTTGTTTAAGCTACATAAAGTCAGACACACAACTGACAAGCAGCGGCATGACTGGGAGGGAGCCTTAAAGAGAGTAGGAAAGCACAAAATATTGGGGAACTTGAAAGTGTTAAGGAAAAGCATGCTTAGAGAAAAGAAGAAAAAGAGTAGTGATTTTTTTTAGTGATTCAGAACAGCCGGTAGGCTCACGAAGCTGCACCAAAGTGGCCTGGTAAGCTACTAGGGGTGGATCAGGGAAGGAAAGGTACAATGTCACACTAGAGGACGAATTATTACACCTATCCCTGTAGCATGGCTTCCAGTGAGCATGGCTTCCTAGGGTCATTCCTTGGCCATGCCCAACTGGAATGTTAAGTCTCCACCCAGGCCAAAGATGCTATTTTCTTGATCAGGAGTTTTTTCTACTCTTAACAATACTCAACCTTTAACAGAATGAAATGCCCACCTCACAAAATGCCCACCTCTTTAGGGAGTCAGGGGCTTGTACACAGGCAACCATGATAAGGAATCTATGTTGTGCAATTTGGTGGTGTTTGTTAGATGATTTCTCACAGTAATAAGAAGACATTTATTACAAAAAGGGTTTGCCAATCAATGTGTTAGATATGCACAAAAGAGGTTGTATGCAGCCATAATGAAAAGCAAACTTATATCACTTACAGGAAAATGGACAGAACTGGAACAGGCCAGTCTCAGAAAGTGTCATGTTTTCTCTCACAGGTGATAGTTAAATTTAAAAGAAAGAAATGAAAGGGGGAACAATTCTTTGCCAACAAGGTTGGCAAAGAAAGTGTAGCAGACAGAGTAAACATGAAAAAAGAATACTCTATACATGTATGGAAATGTCAACAAAACCATTGACCTGACCCCCTCTATACTAGAGGACTCTGAAAGGACATCAAGGAATAAAGTAGAAGTGGACAATAGAAAGAAGGAAAAAGAAAACAGCCTAGAACCTTTCCCAAGTTAAAAAGATGTCCAGGAGCCAGGTGATGCCTGAAAAAGGGCTAAAAAGTCCCAACGTCCAAGAGGGCTCCCTGAAGCTACCCAAGACCCGGGAACTAGCTGAGAATCCCACAAGCAATTCCAAGCAGCACGGGAACACGTACCTATTTTAAAAAGGTGTGCATCAGGCAATATATTACATAAAATCACCTGACAAGATTCCTTATAATCCTGGCACCAAATCACACCCTATAGCAATTAAATTGGAATGAGGATGGGAACCAAACCTCATCTTTGTTGTTGTTTTGCTTTTTAATGATGTGTTGGCGAGCATTCCTACATGGTGGACAAACATTCTCCCTACAACTGAGCTATGCTTCAATATTTACTGTTGCCACTGCTTTGAGCCAGGTTAGAATGTGGATATCAGGCTGGCCTCCATCATCTTGCCTCAGCCTTTACAAGTGCTGGGATTACAGATGTGTGCTACCATGCCTGATGCTACCAATATTTTTTAAAGAACCCTGATTAGTTCTTAATCTATAGCAAAGTTAGAGAAGAACACCAGAGTGGAATCTCAGACCTCTTCATGAAATGAGGCTGCAACAAGAGCTGGAAGGTGGGTAATTTCCAAGATATATAAATCAGTCCATTCAGTGTGACATCAGAACCCCGCTGCCTGGACCTGGGTGACGGAGGTAGAAAACCAGTGACCTTTCCTGGAACACACATTGTTACTGCCAAGAGAGGCTGAGTCCTGTTTTCACTAGGCAAGCATGAAGGTGAATTTGCTCATATACTTTTAATGATTAGAGAAGAAATAATTATTAGCCTCAATTAGGAAAAAAAAAAGATTGTGTTTTTCTGTATAATGTTCAAAGCCTCAAATGACAGCAGAACCTGCATTTTGCAACCCCTATTTTTCTTTATGTTTCAAGTACTGGCCTGGCACTTGGAAAGCCATGCAGGTGACAGAAGAGTCACTACGAAGAAACCTGACGGCCTAACACTGTCACTATCGATTTCTGGGCCACCACCATATTAGTCTTTCTCCAGCCAAAATGGACAGCAATCTAAAATTACTTTTTTTTTTTTTTTTTTCAGTGCTGGGGACTGGGCCTACTACTCTGATACAGCCCCAGCTCCTAAAATACTTTTTAATCTTAATATCTGAACCACTATATTGCCTACTAATGACTTTATAAAGAAAAAGCAACTACACTCCCAAATAATAACCAGAATTCTTAAGGTAAAGTAAGATTATTGTCACCATCTACATCATTATCAACATTATTTTAATCTAAAATAACTTTTTAAAACATTCCTAGGGGAAAGCTCCCAACTTCAGAAAACAAAAGAGGAAACCATCTTCCCGGCATGCGGTAAATTGAATGAGAACAGCACATAGACTCTTGTGTCTGAATAACTGGTCTCCCATTGGTGGAACAGTTTGGGAAGGATTAGGAGGTGTGGCTTTGCTGGAGCGGGTAGGCTTCCAGGCTTCAAAGTCTCCCATCACTTCCAGTGTGCTCTGTCTGCCTCCAGCTTGTGGATCACGACGTGAGTTCTCCACTGTACCTGCTACTATCCATGCCTTTGCTCCACCATCGTGAACCCTAACCCTCTGAAACAGCAAGCCCAATTAAACACTCTGTTACAAATTGCCTTGGCCATGCTGTTTTGCCACAGGAACTGAAAAGTCACTAAGACATGGCACAAGGTAAAAGAAGTAAGGAGATAACACTGGAGATGAAGTGCCTGAAAAGTCCTTTATGCAGAAGGGCAGCAGAGTGTAGCCAAAGGATCATCACCGCCACCTGCCTCCTGCAGCTGCTTCTCAAGTGCTTTCCTGGATTCTCCTCCAATCAGTCAAAATACCTTTCTGAGGGCTGAGAGATGGCTCCGAGGTTGAGGGGGCCTGCTGAATAATCAGGAGGCTGGAGTTTAGATCCCAGCATCCATGTAACAAGGCAGGCACCGCGTGCACACCTGCAGCCTCAGC